AACCCTACACCCTAAACCCTTAAACTCTAAAGCCCTAAACCCTAAACCCTAAAGGGCCTAATCCGAAACTGAGGTTTGTTCTCACCCCGGGCATGGATCCAACATCGCAGCTGCGAGCGTTGGCCGTCGCTCGCGGATTGCCACTTCGCCGAACTGGGGAACCAGATCCTCGGGAGGATCCAACATGATCCCCAAAAGTAGATCCCTGCAGGTGTTTAGGTTGAGGGGTTGAAGGTTTAGGGTTTCAAGTACTAGTAGTTCAGGGTGCCAAATTCGGGATCTATATTTAGATCCTCCTTGAAGCAAAACTGCGAGGTTTCGGGGTACCTGAGGCTACCGGGATTAACTATCCAGAAGTAGTATGCCAGCATAGATCCTCAGATTGCCAATATCCTTTAAATCAGGAATAAACCCTCAACTTCTAGTAGGATCCCCAATACGACTTAACATCTATTCCTGAAATCAAGGGATTGGACGGTCTGGGTCCTCAAACAGTGATAGAGCACTTTGCCGACCACATCGACCACGCGGATCCTGACCAATACAACCGCCAGGACCACCACGACGACCGGACATCCACGACAACCAGGATGACAACGACCATGACGACCCGTATGAAGACCACCACCCCAGACCCTAAGCCCTTCATCCTCAACCCTAAACGAGGAACCACGAGGAACGACCACCAAGAGAGCACCAGGAGAGACCCCAAAACAGCCTTCAGGATGCTGCAGGCATAAAGTCCGAAACGGCTAACCCAAACAGCCGAAGTCCCTCAACCGTCAGCCACAAGCCCCACCTTCAACCCTAAACCCCACATTCAGGAAAGATGTGCGTCAAGCATTAGCAACAACACAAAGCAGTATAGCGAGCAAACAGTACTACACCCTAAAGCCGAATATGGTCCGCGTGCTCTTGTGGGCGGTCCTTATGTCGATTGAGCATGCTGCCACTATGGTATCCAACCCACAAACCCTGATGCCTCAGGCTTTAACCCGAAACAGCCTACTGTTTTAAGGCCTTAGATAAGGAAATAATAGCAACGAGCCCGAAAAACGACTTTTTTTACGGCCTTCTATAAGGAAATCCTCATAACGAACCCTAGACTAGAAATGTAGGCCCCTCATGGCAGGGTTTAGGGTTCCTAAACCCTAAACCCGAAACCCTGTTGCCGGAAGCTCCCCCTTTGAGTACCCTTAGAGATCCCTGAAAGGAACCCTGCGAGCGGTTTGGGGTTTAGGGTTCAGGGGTTTAGGGTTTTCGGGTTTTAGGGTTTGGGGTTTACGGTTTAGGTAAAGAGATCCTTGAAAGGAACCCCATGAGAGGATAAGGTGCTCTGTTTCAGAAGCTCCCAAATTGAGGTCTGTAGTTTACGTATATTTGCAGTAGAATCAAAATAGTCAATTACCCTAAGCCCGAAAGCCTATAATTGTAAGCCAAAAAAGTTCAATCTACCGAGGCTCCTGCGAAACTTTTCTTAAACCCTAAACCCGAGACCCTAAACCCCTAAACCCCTAAACCCCTAAACCCTAAACTTCAAACCCTAAACCCCTAAACCCTAAGCCCTAAGCCCTAAACCCTAAACCCTAAACCCTAAACCCTCCCCCCCATTTGAGGCAGTGGCAGACGATTTCATTGGGTCAAGGCCAAGAGCCGCCTCTCGTCCTTGTTTTAAGGGTCTAGGGGGTTTAGGGCTTTGGGTTTAGGGTGTAGGGCTTATACGGTTTAGGGTTTAGGGTTTAGAGCTTAGGGTTTAGGGGTTTAAGGCTTTTAGTGTTTCTTGGAGTTTGCAGGGTGTTTTATGTTTCCTAAAGATTGTGTTTTATGTTCGGGTTTAGGGTTGCATTAAAGCTTTATGCCGTTTTTCTGTTGGGCTTTAGAAGGGTTTGTTTTGCTTCAGGGCTTTGGGTGTAGTTCTCTTGGGGATGATGGGGTCCTAGACGGTGTTGCAAGGGTTTTATGCATCGCTTTTGTTGCGGGCAGGGTTGTGTGTGCTGTTTGTGTTGCGGTGTCGAAAGGGTGTATTTGGGTTTTAGGTTATAACGGCCTTACAGGGTTTGGCCTTTTGTTTTGTCAGGATTTTTTCTAGAGGCTTTCTAAAGGGTTTTAGTGTCTTGTAGGAGTTTTCTGTTTGCTGCAAAATGTTATACTGTTGATGATAGAAATCAGGAATTACCGAGAATAAGGACCCTTAACTAACAGTAGGAGTTTCAGGATGCTAAGTCTTGCGGCTACTCGCAGCACGAACGTGGGATCAGGCGGTGCCCAAGGCCCAAACAGCCTAATCTAGGGGCCTCAATAATTAGAATAGGGTTTGGGGAGGTACATTATATCATAATTATAGTAAGGAGCCACCAAAACCCTATTCTAACTATTAAGAACCCTACATCAATCCCTTTTTGTTGGTTCAGGGTTCAGATTGCCTCCTGCTGCTGTCACACCCCGAAAGTCATGACGGACGCCCCAAACCCTAACCCCTAAACCCTAAGCCCTAAACCCTAAGCCCTAAACCCTAAACCCCAATCCCCAAACCCCAAACCCTAAACCCAAACCCCCACCTAGACCCCCCCAACTACCCTCTATTATAGCCCCAAATACCCACTATTAAGGGCCATTGGGGGGTCCTGGCAACACCCTCCTAACAAAAAGAATTCCAACCTCTTCCAAGAGCACATAGGAGAAGTCTCGTGCCCCAGACAGGGAAAGGTTTCTGCTACCTGAACCCTATAGGGGTTTCGGGTTTAGGGTTTAGGTTTTGGGGTTTAGGGTCAAGCACGACATGGGCGGGTTCTTGCCTCTGCGAAAGACCACTGCACTTAAAACAAACAAAGAAGAAATAAGCTACACCTTATGAACCTTAAACCCTAAACCCCTAACCTACCTAAACAGCTTTCTGTTTGACTGCTTGTCCCAAAACTCCATGTGCCCATCTAGTATATATTTAGGCCTCGAAGGGTTCCTATACAAGTACCACTAAGGTCTAAGTATACCCCTAAACCCTAATTAAACCCTAAACCCTATACAGGCGCATGGATCCTTAGGGTTGGACCTCCACGGTTAGCCTCAAAGCCCTGCACCCCTCGCTGATGAAAGGAAAGCGACGAAGATGATGTGTCTTGCCCGCATGTAAGAGCTAAACCATAAACCCTGAACCCTCAACACTTACTAAACCCTAAACCCTAAACCCTGAACCCTAAACCCTAAACCCTGAACCCTGAACCCTAGACCCTGAACCCTAAACCCTGAACCCTTACTATACCCTAAGCCCTCAACCCTGAACCCTTACTAAACCCTAAACCCAAAACCCCGAACCCTAAACCCTGAACCCTTACTAAACCCTAAACCCTGAACCCTGAACCCTTACTAAACCTATAAACCCTAAACCCTGAACCCTTACTAAACCCTAAACCCTGAACCCTGCACCCTAAACCCTGAACCCTTACTAAACCCTAAACCCTAAACCCTGAACCCTTACTAAACCTATAAACCCAACCTATAAACCTTCAACCCTGAACCCTTACTAAACCCTAAACCCTGAACCCTTACTAAACCCGAAACCCTAAACCTTAAACCCTGAACCCTGAACCCTAAACCCTGAACCCTGAACCCTAAACCCTGAACCCTTACTAAACCTATAAACCTTAAGCCGCTCCAAGCCATGTCCGGCAGGATGGGAGGACTTTCCGTTTAGGGTTTGGGCCTTACCCAAAGGCTCCATGTACTGTTATAGTAGATACTTAGGCCTTAAAGTACCTGTATAGGGACCCCTCGAAGGCCGAAACATCTACTATAGAAGTACATGGAGCCTTAGGGTAACTTTGGAGTTCGGAGATGTTTGTATACATGTTTCCCAAAGGGTCCAATGTGCCTATATAGTAGAATGTAGGGTTTCTATATTAGGAACTGTTATTATGATGTGGGAAAGTATCCCCCCCCATAACAGTCTCTAGGACCCTTTGGCTTTGGCTTCGTGATCAGCAGGTCCAGCTTTGGGGCGTAGGCGTCATCGTACTGGGCAGTTGTCTATTGTTGGTAAATGAGTAGGGTTTAGGGTTTAGGGGTTTAGGGGTTTAGGGTTTCTAAATTACGGTCCTTTTTTAGGCCCCCAATATAGCACGGCACCCTGATAAAAAAGGACCTAAAAAGGGACCCTAATTAAGAGAACTACCCAAATCTTCGTACAATATCTTCCGAAGAGGTCGGCATGTAAAAGAGAACCCACGACTTGGAGTCTCTTGGTGTCACGGTTCCTTTTGCTGGCGAGTGGCGACTCCTGCGTTTCTCTGTGCGCAAGGCCGCCCTACGGCTTAGAGCCCTGCGAGGGCTCAAGCTGGACACCAAACGAGCAAGGTTGCTGATCCTCTCGCTGGTGATGCCCGCGCTCACTTGGGCGGCGGCCTTTGCGGAGCCGGACCCGGAGGACGTCCAGGGGATCTACCACGAGATCCAGTACTGCATGGAACACACGGCAAGCCAAGCCGGAGCTCTGGGTAGCCGGGTTTGTTCACGGTTTAACCCTATCAGGGGTTTGGGGTTCCTTTAAGAGGTTCCTGTAAGGAAACCTTAGGGTTGAGGGCGTAGATTCTAGGGCTTTGGGTTTAGGGCTTGGAGTTTATGGATTCTGAGTTGGGGCCTGTGTGGATGCCCGGGATTAATGAGGAATATCGGGTGGTTTCCCCGCCTTCGACGGCGTGGGGTGGGAGAGAAAGAAAGAAAAGTCTTCTATAGATTCGCTATGACAGCTCGGCGCCACAGTACGATGCACCCGACACAACCTTGTCACAAGATACTATCTCCTACGCACCATTCCACGGCAAATCCTAAGGTCTAAACCCAAAAACCCTAAAGCCCCATACCTAAACCCTATACCCTAAGCCCTCTTAGCCCTAAACCCTTAAAAACCCTAAACCTAAACCCTAGACCCCTAAACCCTTAAACCGTAAGTCAAATCCATGCGTTCAGGATCGACGGTGCCGAGAAGGGCTTCTGGGTTCTGCTGGCGAATTGCACCTTGGGTTCACAGCTTAGGGTTTAGGGCTTAGTGTTTGGGTTTTAGGATTTAGGCTTGGGGTTTAGGATTTTAGGGTTTAGGGTTTTAAGGTTTATAAGGATTTAGGGCTTGGGGTTTTGGGTTTTAGGGTTTAGGGCTTAGGATTGACGGCTCAGGGCTTACACCCTAAACCCTATCATGGGTTTAAGGTTCCTTGAAGGAAAGCTTAGAGTTTAGGGCGTAGAGTTTAGGGCTTAGGGTTTATGGATTCTGAGTTGGGGCCTGTGTGGATGCCCGGGATTATTGAGTACAATAGAGGGTGTGGGTTTTTGGATTTCTGCGCGTAGGCTTTGGTCCTTCATCTATCATGCATCGAAGGCTAAGTAAGGTATGCCCGTGCTCTGAATTGCAAAACCACAAGCCGCGAGGTCCTACCCTAAACCCTAAACCCTAAACCCTAAACCCTAAACCCTAAACCCTAAACAGGACAGCCGAGCCCCTACCTTCAGACCATCGGCCCCTTTGGGTAATGTAAGGGGACAAATCCACGGTTTAGGGTTTAGGGTTTAGGGTTTAGGGTTTAGGGTTTAGGGTTTAGGGTTTAGGGTTTAGGGCGGGACAAACCCTAAAACCTTAAACCCTAAACCTACAAACCACAAACGCTAGACCTAAGCCCTTTAAACCTAACCCTTAAGCGGTGCAGCCCAAATAAGACACCTCGAGGCATCCCGTTCCGAGAACCTGAAACGTGTTCGAAATCCTTTGAACTAAACCCGGAACCCGAAACCTTTGGGAGATTTAGGGGTTCAGGGCATGGTTTGGGTTTAGGATGGCTTCGGAAACAGTAGTTCAGCATGTTTTCGGGAGTTTTAGGTTCAGGACGGTGTAGGCCAAAGGCTCCATGCACTTTTATAGTAGATACTTAGGCCTTAAAGGGTCCCTATATAGGTACTTTAAGGCCTAAGTATCCACTATATGGGTACATGGAGCCTTAGGGTTAGGGACTGAACCGAGGCCACCTTTGCGTTCATTGGCTGCCAAAGTTGGAGAAGCTGATCGAGAAGACCTTCGACGATGCCACTCGAATGCGGTTCTGGGTCTAGGGATTAGGGATTATATAGGTTTTGGGTGTGGGAAGGCTTTAGTCTGGTTTAAGTTTGGGTTCAGGCTTTGACTAGGACCTCTGGGACACGACGGTCGGTTTTTTGGTTTTGTTGGATGTTTTCATTTTCAGGCGGCAGGGGCTACGTTAGTATTTTTGCGGTGTGGGGTCTCGGGCCCTAAACCCCACTCCGTCAGGTTCGGGTTTCGGTTAGGAAACCCTGGTTTAGGGTATAGGGTTTAGCTGCATCTTCCGGCCCTCGACCGCCCCCTTTCCTCGCTATAGTCTGGTGACCATGCACTATAGAAGTGAGCCGGGCAAGAGAGCCATCCTACACCGCAGACGCTAACTCGAACACCTCCCGCGATTGATCTATTTGTGCCCTCCAGTAAGGCAAAATCCCACGATCCGCGCAGTTTGTTGTGGTTACGCACATTAGGATTGTGGAAACGTGCCTGGGCTTGTTGAGAATAGCAGTGACTATTATTGATGTCAAATTCCGGAACCCCTTAAGTTTAAACCGAGTTGTCACCCAAGGTCCAACCCTACTCCGTGTGTAGGATTTGCTGAATACCGAACAACTGTTACAGAAGCTGCAGCTTTGGGGTGAAGCCTTAACAAAGCTCTAAGGTCTCCATCATAAGATGTTGTTGGGCCCCTGCAATAAACACCCATGCCCTTAAACCCTAAACCCTAAACCCTAAACCCTAAACCGGAATGCACCAGGGCCCTCACGAGAAGTTCCGCATCTTCTTGTCATCGTCGCCGACTCCCAAGCAGCTTGGACCATTCATGGCCCAGGGTTTCCAAGCTCCACGCTCGAAGGATTAAGGACCTACCTTAAGAGCCCAAAACCTACTTTTTTTGTAGGGTCCCTATAAGTCCCATATTAGGGTTTATAATAAGAACCTACAAAAAAGTGGGTTTAGGGTTTAGGGTTTAGGGTTTAGGGGTTTGGGTTCGGGGAGATAGCCCCAACCGGGTACATACAAGCAACTTCCTAGTCAGCTGACCCTTGAACCAGCACATCGAGCACATCTGAAGTCCCAGGTTTAGGGTTTTAGGGTTTAGGGTTTAGGGTTTAGGGTTTAGGGTTTAGGGTTTAGGGTTTAGGCTTGACATGTAAGCGTCCTGCTTGGTACCCTAAACCGCGTCACGCAACAGAGTTTGACAATCAACAGAGCAGGTCATCCCCTTAACCCTAAACCCTCAACCCTAAATCGTCCTTGGAGTGCCGTAACTGGGCCACCAGCCCATGCCCGAAGCCCCCAACTTTAGCCTTAAACTCCACACACCTACTTGGGGGATCATGGGACCTAGTAACTATAGCAATATGTACCTTAATTCGAGCTGTAAGTATTTATAAGTATTGCTCCCCTGACGATAGCCCTAGTTACTATGTACCAGTATCCTTTGAGTAAGCTCAACAGCTGAAACCCTGCTCGTTGATGACCCTTGTTCCCGCCGAACACGCAGCCGGTTGCAGGACTCTCCCGGTAAGGCTGTTGCCCAAAGGCTCCATGTACCTTTATAGTAGATACTTAGGCCTTAAAGGGGTCCCTATAGAGGTACTTTAAGGCCTAAGTATTTACTATATCCCAATACTCCTTGATTAAGGAATGTAGATTGAGCCATATATTGAGGCCCCTTATGGTTTCAGGTATATCCCCTTAGTTAGGGTGTATCGCACTGTCTGGGAACCCTTTACCCTAAGTGCTACTCCTCTGCTTCGACGCCAAGGTTCCCGATCCAGCTCCTCCAGAACTGCATCAAGATGCTGCTTGGCTGTCGAAGCGGACAAGATGGTCAAATATAGCAGCCTGAACTACCGAGAGGGTCCATCTAAATATACTATACCACTATCGAATTAGGTCTTAAAAGACCATCCTAGTGATGGTTTTGGGGACCTACTTCCACAATATCGGTCTAAATGGCTACTTAGTCATACTATTTCGGAATAGTCCCCAATATCATTATGGTTTAATATACCCCAAAGCCCATTCTAGCCATCAAGACCCCACGTTTAGGGTTTAGGGTTCAGGCAGTCAGGCCCCTCCCCTAAAGCCCTACATACAACAACGCGTTTAAGGAGTCATAGGGCTTACTTGCAGGTTCATGGGTAAGCATAAGCGGGGTTTTAAGTCCTTTAATATGGGATTTAACTGTAGTTATCCTGCCAATAACCTACCTACCCATGAGCCTCCTAGTAGTTGCTGGTTTGTTCTTGGGCATTCCCCGGTCCCAAGCTAAGCTACCAAAGTCGCCCGAGCCGTCGAAAGTAGCTTTGTTCTGTTTCTTCGTGGTCGCTTTGCCAGCTTTGCAAACCTCTCTAGGCTCTAGCGCGTATTTTGCTAACCTAGGGCAGATGCTCCTTGGACTCTATGCCTTGCTTCCTACCCTAAACCCTATACCGTAAACCCTAACCCCAAACCCGAACCTAGACCCAGAGCAATCTATCCTGAGACCTCATTCCTCCAGGCCCTAAGCACTTGAGCCTCAAAGGCATGGACGCTTTATATCCCTAATTCTTTAAGACCTTTACTTGGAGGATCATGGGACCGGCTAAGGTTCTCAGTAAGATAAGCTAGTTAATATAGAAGCCTAAACAATTACCTATACTATTTTAGGGGCTCCTTCTTATCATTCCAGTTTAAATTAAAAGGCCCCAAGATCCTATTCTAATTACTAAGGCACCTGTATTGCTACAATCTCCTTGTCTACTCGGTAGCAGTGGTAGTATCGTTGGAGGACTCAGTCAGCAGATTCATAAATATAGTAACTACAGACATAGTTGCTTATAGCCTTACCCTAAGGCTCCATGTACCCATATAGTGGATACTTAGGCCTTAACGTACCTATATAGGGACCCCTTTAAGGCCTAAGTATCTACTATAAAGGTACAGGGAGCCTTTGGGTTATAGCCCAGTTAGGCCACTGATAGCCCTATACTTAGGGTTTAGGGTTTAGGGTTTAGGGTTTAAGGTTTAGGGTTTAGGGTTTAGGGTTTTAAGTCCCCTCATTCTCCAAGCATCCCGAATACGTTAAAGTCCGCGAAGCTCTGTCCCTGAAGGCCCTACACCCCGAACACTTTCGACCTAGGGCGCTGGGGTTTTCGTAGGGTAGGGCATATTGTAGCAAAAACCGTATCAGGGAAAACAGCGGCCTACTATTCCGCTACCCTCAACCCACGAAGCCCTTACCCTAAGGCTCCATGTACCTTTATAGTAGATACTTAGGCCTGAAAGTACCTTCATAGGGACCCCTTCAAGGCCTAAGTATCTACTATAGAGGTACATGAACCCTAAACCCTAAACCCCAAAACCCCTAAACCCTAAACCCTAAACCCCTAAAACCCTAAACCCTAAACCCATGGAGCCTTTGGGTTAGGTAGACGTGTGCCATCTTGTACCCTCGAGCCCAAAGCCCAGCGCAGGACCACGGAGCCGCCAAAGGGTTTGAAGGCAAACCTCGTGCGGCTGCTTCAGAACACCGCTGAGGACGGGTTTGCGGTTTAGGGTTTAGACATCGTTTCGGGGTTAGGGCTGGGCTGGGCTCAGGCTAATGTAGACGCCTAAATAATTACCTATAGTATTTTGGGTGGTTCCTTATTTTATTTATGGTATAATGGGCCCCACAGGCCGATTCTAATTACTAAGGCCCCTGCATTATGGGGATCATAAAACGCTCTGCCACCCTCGAGGTGTAACCGGGTCATAAGGCTCTACGGAGCTATGCGAAGAAGGTACAGAAGGTAGGGCTTAGTGTTGCTGGTTGGAGGGTCATAGGACTTACTTAGTAGTTTATGGCTAGGTACAGAGCCAGATGATGAGACACATAGTTCTCCATTGCCCATGCTTTAATCTTTTCCGGGTCTGGTAGTCTTGACCCAAATCTGCAGCCTTTGATTCAGTTGGGTATTCGGTATGCAAGATTTTGTCGCCAGGAAAGCTACAACCGGGTCAAAGAGGTGCAGAAGTATCGCCGGCTCTTCTTCTCTCTTTGTTGGTTCCATGCGATTCTGCTGGAGCGCAAGAAGTCTCTCGACTCCTGTTAGTTGGCGGGAAGGTTTGATGAACCGTCTACGGGACAGGATCCTGCATTGTCGATACTAAAGACAGCACCAACATGCCATAGTTTGAGGTCTCCATGTAGGGTAATGCAGGATGTTTTCCACTTGGGCTAGCAAAGCAGTCGTGCCTCTGTGATAGATATCGATTCGAGCTACTCCGAGAGCCTGTATATGTCGGGCCATGGTTCAGAAGCCAATCGTTAAGGCTTGTTGCTTACGGTTTAGTTTCGGGTTTAGGCGACTGGCACTGATTTCCCTCGATTCACGATTTTTCGGGAAAAAGCAACATGATGTCTATTCAATAAGTGCTATCACATATATTGCATGCATGATGTGTGTGTGTGTGCGTGTGCTTGTGCGTGTGCTTGCAATAGGAGGGACTTATATAATATTTTACCTATTCTGTTTTGGGGGGTCCTTATTAGAACTATAGTATACAAAACCCCCCCAAAACCCTATTCTGACTATTAAGGCCCCTTCAGTATGCATGCATGATGCACCCTTGTCGTGTTCTCGGTTCTTAACCCTAAACCCTAAACCCTAAACCCTAAACCCTAAACCCTAAACCCTAAACCCCTGAACCCTAAACGAACTACAGATCCGGACTCAGAATCTCCACCCTGCGACTCGAAACTTCAGGCTTCCTATTTTGGGAGTTTCCGAAAATACGGGGTACCTTATTTTGGGGGGTCCTCATAATAAGGATCCTACTATTTGGGGTACTGTTAGGGTCCCCTGTTTCCTAACACTTAGTGGCTGAGTAGGTAACCTTTAACCTTTTGGGGCTCTTATAATTCTACTATAATTCAACAGGTTAACGTTTGTTGGCTAGGGTACTCAGCCCCTAAGAATATGTAGTTCCATGCTGGGTTTAGGGCCTAGGGGATGACCCCGCTCATGGTTCGGGAGGCGAATAGGATACATGCTGGGCGGGCTACTTGGAGGTTCATGGGTGGTTATAAGTGGGGCTACCAGTCCCCTAATGCAGGCTAGATCTAGACATCCTATTTGAAGGCCCTACTTATCACCACGCATGAGCAAACTTACCCGCAGCAACATCGGTTGTGCGATGACATCTATGTGTGTATATATATATATAGATATACACATACATATAACGTGTGTATATATATATATATTCTCAGGAAGCCACAGACGACAACCCCAAACATGTAGCTTTTATGGGTTTCAGTCACGCCCTATCGTCCCGGATCTTCCTGAACCTGTGAGGTTCAAGATGCTGGGATGGAACATCGGCTACGATTTCAACGACTCGGACTTCGACATCTGCGCCCCAGACAAGGGTTTAGGGTTTAGGGTTTAGGGTTTAGGGTTTTGGGTTTTGGGTTTAGCATAATCTGCGATTCCTTAAGGATCCAAACGATCCAGTAAGCAGAGGTTCTATAAAGGTTCTGCGAGGACTCTATGGGGGAATTACGAAGGCTTTTCTACGATACATAGGTTTTTGTGTAGGGGTCCTAAGAATCAGGTACGTTCCTTTACTATGTAGCAACCCTTATAGCCCCTTTAAATAGAAGCCCTGAAGGGCATTTCTTCTAGTTATTGAGGCGCCTACACTGGGTTCTTGCTAAGGAATCTAGCTGAAGCGACCATAGCCTGGAAACCGTAGTAAGTATTGTAGATCCCATAACTTTGGTTCGTTAACCAGATCGTAAACCCCAAACCCTGAACTCTGAACCCTGAAACCCTAAAACCCTAAACCCTAAACTCTAAGCCCCTAAAGCC